AGCTATGTAACTAGGCATCGAAAAACCTGCCTCCGTCGGAACTCTAACCCTAGAGAGTCCGCATCAGCTCCTAGCATAGATAGCTGTGACATCATTTGATGCCCTGAACGAACTAAGCCGGTACGCGTGTCCAATTTGGTGACGAAGTTCCAGCTTTCTGCCTGCTTCATTATCAGTCTTGACTCCGACCTATAAATTCCAACCCATTTTATGTTAAAGTACTTTTTTGTCAATCATATTTTTTTCTATTATCTAACAAACAGAAATATATATGGATAGTAGACTCAAGGGCCGATCACTTAAGCAGTGGTTTCTCGAAACTTCGACAAAAGTAATAGGTAAAAGGTGATGCTACCCCAACTCCTCTGGTTGGGAGTCTTTTCTCCTTCGGGTATCTCCCTAAGTGGGGCACCGCTCCAACGGAAATAAAGTCTACGTTCCCGGTGTACACTACGTCGTAGTGTAGTGCCTACAATTGTGTGTGTGTATGAGGGGAAAATGGGAGACAAAGATGAGGAAAGAAATATCGAACGCTTTTGGCGAACGGTTTGTTAAAGCACTTCTTCAGCCTTCGTTTGATATTGGTCTGATAAATCATACAAAATTACCGTTTACAACAATCGACCGTAAGAATTCTCCTCCACCCTTTTTGAATTCGATCAAGCTATGGAGATAGAATTTATTTATTTATCCTGGACCTCATATGCCGTCCGCGTATCCAGGGGTGAGTCTCGCGCATCGTATCCGGTTTTAGCCAATGAGCTCCATGCACCAATTTGCGTCACAATATTAGCGGGAATTTTAAATGCAACCAGATACTAAAATTATCACCTTGTTACAAGTCATTGAAACCGATACATGCAGTATTTCTTTCAAATATTGCATCTCTTCATTGTGTTATTTTTGGTTGATTATCGTTGTAATTTTGTCACTTTAAGCCATTGCCAAAATGTTTCTCTAAACATCTATTGTTGATATAACTTAGCGACCAGCAATGGTCTGGCTATTCAAACGAAGTGCCGTTGCTTCGATCACGTGATTGGTGAC